TACTGCGCGCCCGCCGCCCCCTTGGCCGGGCCGGTCACATGCCCGCCTAACTTTATTCAGTTGACAGCGAGTAGGAGGGCTCTATGGCAGGGGAAAAAAAGACAACACGAGAAAAATTAGTATTTTCTACCTTCAGAAATTAATGGCCATGAGTTCGTATATGGTGAACTCTAAGTATGTGGATCCCAAATTTCCTCCTTGCGAGGAATATTTGCAGAACAGCTACCTAGGCGAGCAGGGGGCCGAGTACTACAGTGCCTCGCAGGGCTCTGATTTCCAGCACCAGGGACTCTACCCACGGTCAAACTACAGCGAGCAGCCCTTTAGCTGTAGCAATGCCCCAGGCTCTGCCGTGCAGCCGCGGGGTCATGGACAGGAGCCATCCGAGCCACTTCCCCGGCCAAGCAGAGCATTGTCCACCGCCTCCAATGCCCAACTCGCGAGCCTGCAGCCAGCAGCCGGCCCTCAAACCCCCAAACGGGTCAGCAGTTAAGCAGCCAGCAGTAGTTTACCCCTGGATGAAGAAAGTCCATGTTAACTCGGGTAAGGATCCTCTTCTTACTTTGCTCCTCTACCCCGCTTCCGATCGTCCTCAGCGGCGCTCGCTCGAGCCCCCGCCAGGCTCGTGGACGAGCTCCTTAAGCCGAGGCAGCCAATTACACTCGTCATAAATTTTTACTGCTGAGGAAATAGGCCCTTGGCCGTGCAGGGCTTTGCCGTGCAGGAGAAAATTCCCTTCTCGGAGCCAGCTAGAGGCTCCCAGCCTACCTAGTGCTGCCCGCTGGCCGTGGCGCCTGCCTCAAGTGAGGGGGAGAGCAGCCCGTCCATTGTGAGCAACTGGGACGGATCCAGCCCGGCCACATGCTCGCAGCTCGTAAGGTTTTTCTTTTGTAAAGTCGAACCGGCAAGTCAAGATTAGCTTTGTAAAGTTCTCCGTGTTTTTTTCCCAGTGAATCCCAATTACAACGGAGGGGAACCTAAACGCTCCCGCACAGCTTACACCAGACAGCAAGTCCTAGAACTGGAAAAAGAATTTCATTTTAACAGGTACCTGACCAGGCGCCGCCGTATCGAGATAGCCCACACTTTGTGTCTCTCTGAGCGCCAGATCAAGATCTGGTTTCAGAACAGAAGAATGAAGTGGAAAAAAGACCACAAACTGCCCAACACGAAGGGCAGGTCTTCTTCCTCTGGTTCAAACCCCCATTTACAGACTGGTTCCAAGGACCATCAGACTGACTTGACAACTTTGTAGAAGAGGTGAAATTTTCCATTTCATCCTTCGCTTCTGACCAGTACTGTACATAACTGACATTGCCCAAGCAGAACCCGCATGTAGCAGCTAAGGACTCGAGAAACTGTCATCTTTCTTTAAGGTACTGTTGTATAAAGGAGACAAAATGACGCTACTTTGGACTTTATTTTATTTGCCTCTGCTAGCACAACCTGAAAAAGGAAAAAAAAAACAAGGGGGGGGGGAGGAGAAACATCGTGCAGGCAGTGGGAATTGGGAAAATATTAAACGAGACCTTCTGTCCATAAAAAGTAATAAATCATTGAAAATGAAACTGTCCTGTGTTTCAGTTTTGAGTTCGAAAGTGAAGGTTTATTCTGGGATTTTACTTTTAATTGTCTTTTTATCCCATGCAATTTCAGGAGGATGCGTTTGGGCAAGTTGAGGACAGGAAATTTATAGCATAGTCTTTTATTTGAACATAAAGACTAGTAATTGTGAACTTTTTGTGCTGCTTTACCTTTCTCGGTGTAAAGAAAATACATGCTAATTTCCATAACGTCTCAGACGATGTGCATAGGCATTAAGTGAAAACGGGTTATTTTATGTACTGATAGTGTTAGCGTATTTATTTATTTGTTATGTAGAAGTGTGAAGACAACAAGAAAAATAGTGAAACCAAAAACGGGGAAGGGGAACTGAAACACAGTATTTCTCCTTCCCAGTCTCATGAACACATGCATATTGTTTACTTGTCTTGAACGTACACAACTTTCTCGTCCCTTTTTTTGAATTTCCTTCTTTGTGAATAGGAAAAACGTCCCTGCTCCTTACCGTGTGCCATCTAGGGCTAACAGGCTTGAAATCTGTTTCCAAAGTCTGCTCTGCTCAGCGCTGTGCTTTAAACCATCGATACTTCATTTAAAAATGGAGGAGGGGGAGAAAAAAAGGGGTGAAAAAAAAAGACTACGGCAAACCCCAACCCCCACCAAAAAAAACCCAACAAACCAACAAACAAACACACCCTGAAAAGAAAACCTCAGAGTGAAAAATTAATGCGATTTCTGATATAACCTGAGCCTTTCAAAGCTGAAAGATGAATGCATTCTTTCTATCAGATTTAGATTTCTTTTCTGCCCAGGAGAGAGATAGGCTATGTGAGTTGCTGCTTTGTTTTGTTTGGGAGTTATTTTGGTCTGTTGAGATTGGGTTTTTTTTGAAGAACAGAGATTGTTTTTAAGCAGACCACAACACATGACAGCAATGGTTGGAAACCTCAGCAAGTTGCTTTCAGGAAAAGGGGAAAGGCTTGGATGGGAGCAGAGCTGATCTCGTACCTACGATTTGTCCCTGGCTGCTGGCTGCATCTTGCCAAAGTTTTAGTGCGCTCTAACTACCAAACCCAGCCAAACCAGCTCCCTCAGCTACTTACGCCTCTGCTTAGGCGATTTTAAAGCTCAGCCCTTATCTCCTGTAGCCTCAGGGCAGCTTGGGAGAGGGACCGTATCATGGAAATTGTAACGAGATGAGCCCTTTATTAAAGAGAAAAGGGGCAAAGAAGGAAATCCAGAGCAAACGCTGAAGGGAGGTGGAAAGAGCAGGGGGTGAGTTAACGTGTTTCTGGGTTCGCTCGGGAAAACACTGGCCAAAATGGGCTTGAATGAATTCGAAAATAAAAGGCGAGCTTTTCAACAGGAGCGTATTCGGCAGCATTAACTGTGGCCAGCGGTTAATTTCTGCCCTTTTCTCATCCCTAGAAGTCCGCAAAGTGTCTTGTAAGACTTGGTCTTTTGTTTTAGAGCCTGGAGAAAACTCTTTGTTCTTCCTTAGGGTTAGCCCAGTTCTCAGACTTGCACATGGCAATACTTGAATATCTCCACGTCGTGATATTAAAGATGGATATTCCCGCATTATTCGCATCATTGTTTCTATGACAAAAAGCACTGAGTTCATACATAGTAAAGACGTCTTTTTTCTGACGCCTTCACGTTGAGAAGCTGAAAAGGTATTTTACTGAAGTTCGGCTAAATTGCAGGAACAGGTTCACCCAGAGGACAAATTTTCTATTCGATTAGTTGTATTTCAGCCGGGAAGAGTGACCTCTAAACCCTTAACCTTTTGGACCCAAACTACCCTTCCCTTTCTCTGGCATAGAGAGCGGCTAGCAGCAGCGCTTGAGGAGGGAATTCCTGAGACAAGTTTTCAAGTTTTGTTACTCCCGGTTCCTGCGATAGTGGCCTTTAGTCTCCAGAGTTGTCCAAAGTCCTCCCTTTGCTCTTCATATGAATCTAAGAGAAGGAGAAGGAAAAAAAATAAAAAAAGGGGGGGGGTGGTGGGTGGAAAGAAAAACCTCTCTGGCAGCTCTTCTTGAAAGTCCCCCTCCCAGACCCCCGCTGTTTACTTAAAGCCTGTGATAAGTTGGCTGGAAGCAGGGCAAACGTGTTATTCGAGAGAGAGCTACCAACTTTGGCATCTGTGGTACAGTTCTGGAAAATATTGGCCTTGGATAAGCAAATCTTTGCTTTGTGCTGCTTATCGACCGAGATGGCTCCCGAAGTTAAAGGGCCAAATTCTGCTCCCAGATTTCCTTCCTCTGCCCACTGAAGTCAACCAGGGGTGTAGCTGCGAGCAGAATTTATCTCATTGTCTTTTGAAATGTTAATACCTCCAGGACGAGTGTTGGGGTCAGCAGGCACAGCCCTTACAACCCTGTTTGCAAGTCCCCTTCGAGCGAGGCTGGGGCACTGGAAGTTTACGTAGTTGTCATTGCGCTGTAAACTCAGAGAATACGCGAACTGGAGGCAGAAAGTACCCAAAGAAATAGTCTCCAGCTGCCAATGCTCTGAAGGGTCAGGAGCACCCACTGCCCATTATCTCCCGTGGAAAACCTGCCTGAGGTTTATGTTTTATTGGGTTGTAGCCCTCCTCCAGAGTTATTTTGTGTAGGAAGGCAAGTTGGGTATTTTTGTTTATCCTGGGAGAAATGTTGTGCTTTGGAGCCTTTGTTATATGGTCGCATTGTCCAGCAATACTCTTATCTCTGTTCAAGTGTGATGCTTTTTATAGACATTGTCAATGTTTTGCCGCCATTGATTAAAGCGTTATTTATGTTAATTGTCGCCTGTAGTTTTCATGTAAGCCCTCCATCTACATTTGAAATAATAAAAGGTGTAGAGAAATAGATTCTGGTTTGTACCTTGAACAAACAGTCCTTACAAGGTGGGTCTCTCTTCTGTGAAAACACTGGTCCCTCCCATCATTACAGTGTCAAAAGATGAGTGCCTCTGCCTAGCATCCTCCCAAATGCCCCTTTGAACAGGTTTGCTGATTGCCCTAGCCATAATGGTGTGACTCTAGGCCAAGCTGGAGTCTATATTTACATTTAGGCTGCAGTTAAAAGTGCCTGTCATCCATTTGCTACTGCTTTGCATTTAACAAGCCCTCCTAGAATGACTCCTGGATTTATGCGTGTGTGGTAGGAGGCAAGGAGCCACACCTGAAGGCACCTCGGTCCCCACACAGATGTGAGGGGATCCCTGCAGGTCCCCATGCCTTTTATGTGAGTCCTGGAAAGAATCAATTCAAAAAAGAAATGGAAATTTGAAACTGAAACGCAATGAGTAGCTTTCCCTGAGCAGTAAGGTTCACTTTTTCAGCCGATACAAACGAAAGATCGCAATAAACCACGAACTTGAAGAGTTTAAACTTTCCTGTGCACCTAAGGCAAACATCGTTTTTTTTTTTCTCCCCTGCGTAAGCACCTCAGACAATAACACATGCCTCTGGCCAGGAGAAGTCGATTGCACTATTTTTGTCATAAGTATTTGTCACTGAGGACTTGTCCACTCCTGGAGAGTGGTCAAGGCACGAGCCCAAAAAGACAGTCCCTTGCTGAGCCCGGGAAAGGAGCGCGGGGCACAGAACGAGGCATGAGTCCTCAGCGCCCGGAGTGCGCGGAGGGGAGGGTGCGTGTGCGCTTCTAAGCGCACACTCGCCAAGTTTAAACATCGAGCCACATTTTGTGATTATACTTTCTCTCTCTCCTCTTTAATGGCTCCTCCTGTTACTCCCGATACATCGATACGGTTCTGTATATTATATCACCACTAGTCGTTAAGGTAAGAATGAAGAGGAAAGGCAGAGTCAATAGCAAACCCCACTCACTGTACAGTACAGTAAATAGGGACCTCTCGGTGCAGAGCCACACCGCTTCCAACGGCCATGTTTGTCAGCCCTTTCCCCTGATTCTTTTTTTTCTTTTTTTTTTTTTTTCTCCTTTCTTCCTTCCCCCAAGCCTAGAGACCAAAATAATCTTGCTAGGAACAGTCATAACAGGCAGAATTTCAAAGTGCAAGGAAGATGATAAGAATAGATTTCTACAAGTCCTGACCACGTGATTTGCGAAATAATTAATTCAGCACGTCCCTTAAGAAACACGGAGTCGTCATTAATCTGCCAAGCAAAGGACTCTATCAGACTTGAAAACTGAAGAGATCCCAAGAATATAATATACAAAGGGTGCAGTCCCTCTCTCTGCACACCTAGCTCTTCGGTAGCTGCCGAAAAAGAGACGCCCGGTACGTAAATATTTTTTACTTTTATTCCTTCTTATTTAAGCCTTAATGAACTCAGCTGTCAAACGCTTGACAAATAGGGCACGCTGCTTCCTGATTTCCAGCTCGGCAGCGGCCGGGAGCCGGACCGGGCTCGAGCGGTGACCTTTGCTTCCCAGGGAGCGGGGGGAAGAG